AAATAATTGTTTTACTTTGCGGTTCGTTATTTCTTAGGCGATACCTCACGTTTTTCCAACAACTTCGAGCATTTCAAGTGCAAATCCGTTCCAAATATATCTCAAATACGTCTTCTTAAAGAGCTATAATACAACCGTCCATGCCGCTTGAGTCGAATATTTCTCAATATTTACTGTTACACGACAGACCGTGATCTGCAATATCTGCGATCCCAAAATGATAATATCTATCAATCAAACGTTCCGCGATTGTGCAATTAGCTGAGCAATTAGCGAGAGAGTAAGTCGATAAGGAGAAATCGGCAAGTCAGCGTTTCCCCAACGTCGTAATGACTGTACGTATAGTTTTGTATGAAAATTGTATATTGCGCATGACGCGCGCTTAGGTTAACGCGTCATCTCTGTACACAACTAGGCAAAAAAATCATGTGCGGCGCTAGTTCCGATAGTTCAACGTCTGATGCGAGGAACCGCTGCTGTAACAACTAAGCCGCGAAAATCAGCTCGTGCCTATCGACGTGGAAGGTTATCTTCATTTTTTGTGAATAAAGCATACGCGTGGCTCACCCATCGTGGCTCAATAGTCTGCTAGACTTGTTTTTCTTTTTTTTTTCTTGAATGAACTTATTATCGCTTATAACGGAGTATTCCTGACAACATTTTCAATAAGATTTCGAATGCAGATGATATAACGTATATTTCTAGGTATATTCAGAGTTCTCAAGCATTTTGTCAGTCAAAGTGCATTTTCTGGAATGTTTCCAGTTTGAAATTAAATGCAATTTCAAGATGTATGAAAGAAATTTGTTGTCGACTAATTTGCTACAATTACCCCGGGAAATGCAAATATTGATGATGAATTTAAAGCCAATCTCATCTACATATGAAATTCCGCACATCGATTATCATGAGAGCTATCCGACCAGAATAGCTGAAACGATAAAAAAAATTTCCAGAAACGCAGTCATCTCCGAGTATGAATTTTCGCCGAATTAAAACAACCAGAGTAACACGGGAGTCTCATTCAGCATGAAAATTAGCTGACAAATATAACGAACAAGTCTTGATTTGACGCGGTACAACGTCGGATCAACAGCGTCAGAGCGAGAGTGACGTTGCTGGCGGAACGATTTCCTATTTATAGAAGAAAAGAGTGTGATGGATGTGCGCATCGCTCCCGGAGAAATTGCACTTTCGTCCTATCAAATGTCCGCCGAGTGAAAAATGGCCGCGTCGGCTGCTATTAAAGTTCTCTTTGTCATTTGGCCAGGAAGCGCTGCAGGAAGCCGTCGTCGAAAATTTGATCAGCGCAGATACGACCGCACTTTGCCAACTTGAAGTCGCGTCAGAGGTAGTCTTGTCCCAGCGGACGACTCTGCTTTTTCAAATGGTCGATATTCCAATCTTGGCCGTGCGCTGTAGTCTGCCGGCGTTCACTGATTTCGTCGAGTCTCCACTGAAAGACAGACGAATTTCATGATTTTCACGATAAATTTATCGACCCTTATTTTCTTACAAGACCTTTCGTGCATGTATTTTCTCTATTACTTAGCAAAACAGTTTGATTATTAATCAATTTTTTCGTTTTTGTTTCAGGTGAGTTACACGTCTAAACATATCATTAAACAGAGTCGACTGAGATAAGTGAGTTGAATCATAAATCCTCCTTAATAAATGCCTACGTATGCTTCCATGATTTTAAAATTAGCTCCCGAGAGCTTATATCTAACAACAGCAGCGGGAAAATATTTCCTTTCCCGCTGCCAGTGTCCCCAGAATAAGGTACATCCAAATAGTTTTGGCAACATAAGCATCGAAATCTAACAATAAACGAAACCGAAACGAATGAAATTTACATTGAACACAAAAGAAAGAAGGCGTTTTTACGCGTGACTCAACCTGTAAATAGCCACTTGAATGGATTTAAATCAGCGGGATGGAAATGAATCAGATCAAACGTGAGCGGCTCGGTAATGCCATACAGACGACGCGAAGCTCGCCAAGCTACCGCTCATGCATACACACGCGCATAATATGTCGGTCGCGCGCGTTCATGTCGTCATAGCGTATGTAATCCCTGCAAAGTGATAACTCACTTGATTGCACGAGGCGTGAGCGCGCGTCACGATGAGATGCACGTGCGGCTGAGAAGGGCTTCCGTCTGGATATAATGTAGCTTGGTTATCCCGATTGCCAAAAGCTACGTGTCTCGCTCAGATATCTACGGAGCGAAACATCTTCTGGCAATTATGTTTGCATTCATAGAGCTTCTATATCCACTTGTCCTTTTACGGTTGCACGAGTGGGACTATAAGTTTTTCATTTGTAAATTAAATGTAACTCCAATTTGAATTGACGCATGCATGTCAAGAGAGAGTCTTAATTATAAATCTGTGATTTGTGATGAAAGGAAGGATGCAAACAATGCCAACAATATGATGATTACAAGTAATAATTCAAATTCTGGAGTAACCCACAAAAAAATTGTTATGTTACATAGATCAGTGGTTAAACCTGTTGTCATTATAGTCAACACATTGCCGTCGTCCGGTTCCACTTGATATACGTGGTGTTGCACAGTTGCCGCGGCTGTTTATCTTGCGTATGCTTTTACATTTTTTCACCTATCTGCGCAGGTGTTGCTCTGATAAGAACTTTGTCGTGATTCTCTTTCTCGATATGATACAATGCGACAGTTGCGATACTGCGGAATTGCTGCGGGCCTACAATTTGTCAACTCCGGCGTTGATTTCGACAATACTTTATTTATGAAAGTAAATTGATGAAGCAGTCAAACTTTATTTTGTTCAAATTGGCAGGTATAATATATCACCAACGTGATTCGTTTGTAAGAAAAAAAAAAACTCAAATGATTATCTTGAGTCCTGTATTTTCTACCATTAAGTTTCGATTCGATCATAAAGCCATTGGTCAGGAAAAACGTCAGCAGTAACCAGTCAAGGTCTTGCATTGACCAGAAGCTTCGATCATTTTACAACGCGTCGACATAATTTGATAATATGACATAACTGTATAATGCTACTGTACTGTTCGTATCATTCAGTACCATTTTAGCGGGCATTTAGCCAATTCTGAATGCAGAAGCGTCACAAGGATTTTGTCATTTAAAATAGAATGATGATATCAACTCAGTTTCTTTCAATTTACACTTGGTATAAAGTTTTTTTATGATTTCGTGGTAGTTATCTTTGTTAACAACCAAACAAGCTACAAAAGAATAAGTAAACAATAAATATTGGAAATTCAAGTTTTACATTCATAACAATAACTAGAATAATTTTTCATGATTTGATTAAAAACATATATATACAAGCTGCATCTTTCATTCCGCAACTAATATTTATGTTGATTGATAATTATTAATCTTGTTATGAATTGAGTTACTGTGATAATGTACTTACAGTTGTGTCAATTAATAATCTAGTTATAATTTTCAATCTTTTTTATGTCTATAGAAATGTTATTTCTTATTTACTCAATTTCAAGTAATCTTATACTTCTTGTAATTCATCGAGAGCTGTGTACGATGTTTTTATAATTTCAAATATGTAAAAAATTTACGGTTTTTACTAGCTATTTGTACTCCAAATTATTCTCAGATACATTTTGAACTACTGAATATAAAATGGTTTTTCTTAACGATTTGAGAAACATACATCGATTTCATGTATTTTGTTTCAATAGTTTGCATTTATTTAATTAATTTCAATATTTTTCTGATTACTTACATTACAGCCGGAAATCGTGACGAAAAATACAGGTCCAACATTTTTGTATATTAATATTTCATATTACAATTTCAGGTTGTTATACCATTTGTATAGTTAATATTTCAAAGTTTATGAATTATCTATCAACTCTTGGGAAACTGCTCGCAATTATAATTAATATTGTAAAGACTATAGTAGACTCCATATCTACTGCGTCTTTTTATCGACTTTGTTTTTGCATTTCTCTTGAAAGAAGCATAAATAATAGTTGCTCCATCAGAAACTCCCGCTCTTGCATAAAGTTTTTTTTCCTTCTCGTATATTTATTAAGCTGTTCAGCTTATTAGACATGTCTCCGTTGGATCAGAGATATTGATACTGAATTACGTGTAGTCTTTTTGAAAATTCTAAAATTTTAAGCATAATGGACAAATTATATAAATAAATTTTACGAATAGTAAACCACTGCTTTAGTTAATATTACAACGTTTATCATAAACTAAAGTTTGGCTAATAAACAATTTAACATAATTTTTTTGATAATATAAATATATAGAAAATTGAATTTTTTTAAGAAAATAATGAATATTTGTTTAATCAAGTTATTATAATTTTAAGTGGTAAATACTGTAAAAATATTTAATTGAGAACTCTCTTGATCTACAAAAGCATTTAAATTTTGTACAAACGATTCGTTAGTTTCTTCAATTAAGTCAAGAATTCTTCAATCTGCTAAGTTCTGAATAGCTACTCTTCCAAATAGTATGAAACTAGCTGATTTGCTATATAAGCTAAACTAATAAATTATACTTGCACTGTTAACAAAAAGAATCTGAGTGCTCAAAGTTAATATAAGACTTATTTTTGTTCTGACGAACAAAAATCTAAATAGACGAAGAAAAATATCTCTTTTTTTTTGTTCTGTAGACCAAAAATAACTCTTTTTGTTCTGGTGAACAAAGATAACTCTTATGGACAAAACTTATATACATCAGGTGAGATTATGAGATATTCTTCTTTCATATAAAATTCATATATATTTAGTTTCTGTAAGAAAAAATTTAGAAACATGGTTGATTTGTAGCTGTCGTTAGATACTTTATAAATAATCTATATAATAATATCTAATACTTTATAATAAATTCTATTTTAATAAGTTTTTAAGATACTTCTTTTCACAAGGTCGATTGCTAGACGGATTGATTTTCTGAAATATGATTGAAATTAAATAAAATATTTTATCTAAAAATGTTTATACAATAAATAATATCAATTTTCACTTTAAATTTTAATTTAAAAAAAAATTGATAATATTCTGCACTTTCATGCATTATCCATAACTTGATAATTAATTCCTTTCAAGTATCTTGCAATACTCTGAATGCTGAGTATGACGTTTTTATGATCTAAAAATATTTGAATTTATGGTTTTTTTTTAAATAAAGAAATTAAAACGTATGCTATGTTTACCTACGTATATTTACGTATATTTACCTCAATAAAAGAATCAATGTTCATGACAAATGTTCCAGCTGCAAATTTGATCTTACGAGTCGTACGAATCATAATTGTTAACAATTTCTTTTGCATTGGAACTGTTAAAGTTGGCCAGTTCATCTCATAAACTGCGTCTTCTACATCTGTGCTCTAAAAATAGAAAATATTGTTTAGATTTTGTAAGTAAGAAGGCTGTTATGTAACTTACATGAAGAGTTATTTTATTGCCATACCAACAAAATAAGAATATTTGAATCAAACATGTACCGAAGCACATGAATGAATCAATAATATTCAAACTAATTCCACCTTTATGTTGAGATAAGAGGTAAACATTAATACAAATGTTTGGTATAGTTACCATCACCTGTCCAGTTAAAATTCCTTGAAATGCGGAGTTTATTTGATTCGCAAACCTACGTGATATTTTTAATCATAAAAATTTGTTATAAAGTTTCAGTAGCCTAAAAATTCATTCCATACTGTAGAATACGCTCATGTTTATCGGCAAATTTTGCTAAAATTTTATCTGCATTATGATGTTTCTTAATAGGAATATCAAATTCTAATTCATGAGAATTGAAAGTAGTTTTCATTCGATACTTTAATACTGCTAATTTTGTGCATAGTTGTAAGACGAGTGTAACAAATAAAGAATCTATGCCGATATGCAAGCAAATCATAGGCACACCGCCCAAAATTTCTTGCACGTACGCTGCGAAATAGTTAGGAAAATTGTCTATTCGATATGGACACCATGCTGGTATTGGTAAAGCCCATGAAGTTTGAGATTTTAACATTGGCGTAGATGCTTTTACTGCGAGTGCTGTAATAATGCCGGCTGCGTAGGTCTGGGTAATCCAGCTACATTGTCAATATGATTAATTACCAAACTAAAACTATAACATTTGATTATTTTTCAAACACCTCTAAATGTTCTGCATTAAATGGTTATGAAAAATTTTTGATCGCAAAATGTTTGAAAAATTAAAATTTAACATCACTCTCAAATTCGAACCTGGTCTCATAATTATACTTTTCTATAATCGTTCTTTCAATATTATCTTGCGGTATGTACCATTCATCTTCAAAACATAATTGTAAGAACGTCATGATAAGCTTCTTATTCCTCAAAACGAAGAAATCTTTGTATATCGCATACGAGAGTGTGCTTATTGCGAACAAATTCTCATAAATCTGTTCGCTGTGAGTTCCTACCAAAATATTCATCAATATTGCGAACCAAAATAATATTCCAGAAATTATTTGCACAATAGTATAGAGTTTATACATTGTCTTCGAAGATAGATTCCAGTCATTAGGACACCATACACCCGAAAACGTTAAAATACAAAATAACATAGGAAGCTTACGATACTCTATGGAGTTCGATATTTTATCCATTATTAATATTAATCTATGTAGATTCTTATTCTTTATAACAAAAATCAATAGATATTACGACACTGATTTATAAATTTTCATCGCAAAAAATATAATCAACTTTTATGATTGGTATCTTCCAACAATGAAGGCACATGGAGCCTATACTAGTTTAAAATTGGCTGTCTAACTTATCAATCTGACGTGAATTTCAGTATCATATTTTTCTAAGAACAGTCTTTCATAAACCATGAAACTAGAGCCTTTTGAATTTCGAAAATTGGAAGCTCATTATATTTCTTAAAATCAATTTAATTACGTATCATTAGCAATGGTGTAGCGTATAATTTCAAGTAATTATTTTCCTTGCAAGCAAATTTTTTTCCATCTAGGCTGATAAATAAATTATGCCTCGATCATTTTTTAAAAGTACGTATCAGAGTTAGTTGCGCTTGCGCAGCATGCTCAATAATTTTCTAACGGTATTGATATGCAGTCATCGATGAACGTTGCGGACGTCGTTGCTAAATCAAAGTGCTTAGTCGGTCGTTTAGCTTTTTAATTAACACGCAACTAATATATAAATTTACATTTATTTTTATTTAATGAAATAAGTAAAATCATTTTGAAAATTAAGTTTGTGATCAATACATAGTAAAAATATATATGTTTATTATAATGTTGTATTACCAGTAGATGACTGAAAATGATAAAAAGTTATACAGGTACGTTTTTTAATAAAAATAGAAGAATAAATTATATCAACTCACTGAATGTCATTGCGTTATATTTACTTTAATATAGTATATCTTATCAAATTCTTGAGTTTTTTCCTCTATTTTGCAGAACAATTCAACTGGTTGTTTGTTGAAGTAGATTGAAAGCTGTGTATGAAGTCTTTATAATCTGCAAATAAAATACGATGGAAAGAGATCAATTTATTTTCAACTCTGTTCACTCCTGGAATTCATTTTTGCACATAACTGCAATTTTCAAGTTATAGTGATTTGTATATTTATAAATATTTTTAATTCATCTTTTGCTATGTCTGATAATAGTCTATTTTTAATGTTTTTTTTAAATTATTTTATTAAGCACAAGTGTCAAAGTAAATTTCAAGTAAGCTTTTGATTATGTAAACGTAATTGTTATACTTAATGAACTGATGAGAAAAAACGCTTATTTTTATATCCACGAATGTTGTTAATCGTAATAGAAGATTTATAATTTTGAATTGATGAAAATCGAAATTGCTTAATATTCATATTGAAGCAATGATTGAGAAAATATGAATTATGAACATTCTGTAATAATTAAAACTATGAAATAACTTTTACATTTATGAATGAACCTATGTTCATAGGTATTAAGTATCCAACAGAAAAAGAAATCGGTTTGTCCGACCGTTTCATCATGAAAATAAGTAATTTCTGAACTTTTACGTCCAACATATTCCAATTCATTTCGTAAATTGCACTAGGGACTTCCATGCACTGTGAAAAATAGTTCCAAATTGACTATATTATTTAGTGTATATTACCGTGATACAGCACAAAATAATATAAAATATTTACTTTTAATGCTAGTTCATTGCCGTACCAGCACGTGATAAAAAATTGAATCAGCGCTGATGTGGTGGAAAAAAAGGTAGCGATATACTGTACATTTATATGGTCTGTATACGCAGATAAAGAATATACATTTATACAAATGTTCGGTAACGATGATATAACCAATATGATTAATAATTCGTGAAAAATCTTGTTTAGATCCTGCCCAAATCTAAAGAAGTAGAAATTTTTATAATCTTATCAAAATACCAAATACGATTTATCTTTTCAAGTATACCTGTATATGCGTTGATGATGCTGTATCATTTGGATAAGCCATTTTCTTTCTATTTTCTTTACTTGCTCAACACAGTTCAGGTTGTTTTTATTCAAAATTGGCAGGTTTTGAAGTCGATATTTGAGTAAGTTAACTTGGCCAATGGCTTTCAGTAATAGCCCCACAAAAAGTGTATCCGTTCCTATGTGTGCACAAATTGCAGAAGAGCCAAGAATGACCTGATGAAAATACGTGAACCAAAACCAGTATTGTTTTTCTATTGGATATGGGTACAACGCATCCACAGGCAAAGCAATGGCATTGGACTCCGCAAGAGGTGTTGAAGCTTTTAACAATACAATCAAAGCCATCGATACGGAGTAAGTTATAGTCACATTTCTAGAACAGATTAATTCCAGCGTGAAAAAGTAAAAAATATACATGTTTAGTAAATAATGCATACAACTTGCCTAACTCTCAAATTGATGTCTTCATAAATTTGGATTTCTTCTGAATTCGTACACCTCATCCAATTTTCATTGAAGTAATGCTTGATGAAGATTTTTATTGACTGACAACTCCTATGTAACTGAAAAGACTTATAAACTGCTGTAATATTTGCACTCACAAAAAAGAAGTTTAATAATTTGAATTCGTCAGAACCGAAACTAACGATAAAATGAATGAGCATTTCCGTGCATATTACGAAATTAAAAGTGAATACGACTGAGAAATAGATATTATGAATCCGTCTACGTCTGAAAGACCAATCGTCTGGATACCAAATACCCCAAAATGTTAGTAGAAAAAATTGATATAGTAAAATTTCATACTCAACATTATTTTTCATTATTTTAGTTAACGTAGCTTCCATTTCGTGTACATTTGATGACTACAAATGTACACGAAATGTATAACTATCAACATAAGAAAAAAAGTAGAACTATTACTAAAATGCATAGCTCTCAGAGGCACTACGTAGAAGTGTGTGTCATTTTAAATGACACATAAATGCTAATATAAAATTTTAAATTGAGCGTAATGAAGGTGCTATTTTCTTTCAAGTCAATTTACAAGACATCCAATGCATATTTTGTCAACCCTTGGTGTAAGTACTGTCGATGTGCATTAATCTGTAGTGTGTATCTCTATACTTCTGTGAAATTTTTTATTTCCTTCACACTAGCTGTACAAATAAATAATTCACATTCAGGGTTTATTATTTCGAGCCATCTCGCAGTTGCGTAGTGCTCATTTTTAATCAGTCTTTCTTTAGCTGTCTTTAGATTCATTCGTGTGGGATCATTTACGTTGTAACATCGTATATTCTTTTAATCTAACCTTTTGTGTATGTTGGTCGTATTAATATATTGATGAAACTTTTTCTGACAATGAAATTTCAAGTACTAAAATAAAAACAATATATTATCCAAATTATATAAAACTTACACAGTTATGACTCGATATTATTTAGTGATAGTAACTTTTACATTTTGTGTAAGTACACGTTACGATATATTCTTTCTTAGAGTGTTTTTCAAATGTCGCATTAAGAAAAAACTAAATTTAAAAAATGACATTAATTAAAACTTATGAATTAAAACTTTTTATTTCCAGCTTAGCTACTTTTTTAATTAAAAAAATTCCACTTAATGTTTTAAAATTATTTTACCTTTTTCGAATTTTCCTTGGCAACTTTTGATTGTTTTTTTATAAATATTTTTTAACAATATTTATAAGTTCTGTTCATTTCGAATGTGAATTAATATCTTTTTTCAAAGTAAGGTATTATTTTGAAATTTGTAATCATTCAAATAAAGCGTTATCAATGTGTTATTCTTTTTCTAAATAAGACATTCTAACATATTTTGCATGCCACCTCTGATGTAAATACCTTCGAAGTGCATGGACGTGAGTACGCGTCTACATATATGTGTAAATTTTGTTATTTTTTAACTGTACAAGTGAAAAACTTTTTTTGAGAGCTATCTCGTAATTACGTAGTGCTCATTTTAATTAGTTTTATTTCTGTTACTTTCAGTCATTTATATAGGATCATTTATATCGATTATGACTGTCCGATATAATTTTGGAGATATTATTCAAAAGTGTTTGTATAAAAATATTTTTTAAATCTAAACTCTATGAGAGTGATTAAAGATTTTTATAAAATTGATTTCCAAGCGAAGAAAAATAGTAAATAATTTTGTACATGTAGCTTGTATAAACAAAGTGTTCATTACATAATTATTATCTACTTTCACGTAACTTGACTCACTAATAAATAGTGGAACAAACATTAATATTCTCCCCAAACCTAGTAAATTTAGCCATACTCAGAAGTAAATATTTTTATTTAAATAAGTAACTTATTTTACCTGTAAATTATCTGTTGGTATTTATACGCTTTCATTACTTTCTTTATAAATATATATCTCTTTGAATGAATAAAATTTAAAAAAGTAAAGCATATTACCAGCAACTTGAGAATCAAATGAAGAGCAGTTTCATTAAAAACGTAGTCATAACCATTATATTTTCTATAAAATTTTATCTTAAATAATAAAATCTTTTCATTTTGACAAATAGCGAAATATATATTATATTCTATATTTACAGTTACAAATATAATATGGAAATTCATGTTCTCTCATGCTGGACGAGTATGAATTTCCAAGATACTAGAATAGCAAACTGTTAATTTTCAAAACGATATTTCTTTTATATCGTTCGGATGATGGAACTAGAAGAGTTACGGCACTTATTTTTTAAGCCGACTATGTCGAAACATGTTGCAGGAAATTGAATGCCGAGTAGGAAGTTTTCATAATCTGCGAAAATATTAATGTGAGGTAAATTGTATTTAATAGTTTTTATATGTAACATACTCTGATAAATGAATCTAGATTTAAAGGTACAATTACAGCAGCTGATATCAATATAGATTTAGATGTTCTTGTGATTACCGTTAAGAGTAATCTCTTTGTTTTATGATTAAGATGAACCCAATTGCTTTCAAATAGCGCACTGCCGATGTCAATACTCTATAAAGAAGAGTTTTGGATAATCAAGTTTCACATCAACATTCTAACAATGATCATTATCAAACTTACACCCAGGGTTATTTCGTTACCATACCAACAGAACATATAGATTTGCATTAATGACACTAAAGCATAAAACAATGTTGTAAAATACTTCAGATTGTGTCTGTTAGCGCTTACAGAAAGAAAGTATATATTAATAATAAGATTTGGCACAAATATAACCATTTGACCGGCTAGAAGTGGCTTGAAAGTATTTTGTAAATCGGATCCGAACCTTGAAATAACATTGTTATGTTATAATTTTGCCGAAACTCAACTGTAATGCATATATTTAGCATTACCTGTAAATACTTTCATGTTCCCGTATACGTTGCTCAATCAACAATTGCGTGCTCATCATTTCTTTGTTTACAGGAGTTTTCTTAACGCTCAACTCACCAACTCTTTGTAATCTACGTTTCAAAATATTTATTTGATAGCACATTTGCATCAACAGACTGACAAAAAGCATATCCGTGCTGAGATGCATACATGAAAGTGTTACTCCGCTGATTATTTGATGAAAGTATGTGAAGAAAAACGCAGTAAAATTGTCTACATCATAAGGATACCAAGCTTCCAATGGAAGAATCAAAAACGTGCCAGCTTCTAATATCGGTACAGTAGATCTTAGTAGGACTGCGCCCAAAATCAAACCAGCGTAGATAATAGTCACTCGCCTAACGGAATAATGTTAGTAACGTCAAAATGGAATAATTGTCTAATTGAGTTTTCATACAAACCGTCTTTCGGACAAATTTTCTGTGTAGATGACCGTTTCTTCCATATTTGTTGGTTGATGCCATTCATTAGTGGCGTATTTACTGATAAAATTGATAATATTTGATCGGAAAATTAATACGTTAACTTTCTTGTAAATTCCAACTCCGACTACAATCGCGGTAAATATATTTTCCATATTGAAATTGTCAGACTTGATTGTCAAAATGATATTGATCATCATTTCGATGAAAAAGATGATGCCCAAGAACATGATAATAGATGTATAAATTCTGTAAATACTTTTTTTCTTTCTCGACCAATTTTCCGGGCACCATGCTCCGCACAATGTCAGTACGGTGAATGGAATTGAGAAAAGTTGATATTCAACGCCTCTTTGAAAATCCATTACACCCAAAGTTAATGAAACATTTGCTCAGTGGCAACGTAGACTCGTATGTAAAAAATGATTTATCGATGTAACTCAGACGGGAGCTTTTCTGAGAGTGCCGTTTCATATTCCCCCACTCTTGGCATCGAATTCATGGGAGGAGTTTATCGAGTGCCCGTATAAAAAATAAATGCTACTTACTCAGGCGTATGCCTTCGGGATTGAAAAATGTATCGATAAATTGGTATGATTTGCGTAAACGCTTCGTATGTTGCGTGCATATTGCGGCTGAATTTTTCACCCTTCTTCAAATTATGTAATAAAAATTTGAGTTATCTGATACATTTATAAAATGAGATATTGTCGTACATGCGATTGTGCAGTTTATGGCTTAGCTTGCAGTTTGCAGTAGCCGAGTGTCGTTTGCTAGAACCTATGTCATGTGACTGTTTAATTCTCTGTCGCATCGTGCTTCGAAAAATATCAAGAGAATGTGATTCAAACGGAAAAGTTAATTGAAAAAAATATTATTTTTTGTTATTGTATCAATACTTCTGAGCACATTACTATTAAAAATGATTTGTTTTTCTGTAATGAATCCCTTTTTTAGGCTCCGGTCGACTGTAAAACACTAAAGGCTGAATACGACGACTTCATTATCTAAAAATAGCATGGTTTCTAAATATATTTAACTCAAATAAATATATTCATTAGTCAATCGTAAATACTAACACTTAAAAACGAATCAATATTCATATTCATAATCGGTCCAACTCTAAAAAGGATAGGCTTTGATGTTCTCATCATCATATAGAGTAAGTCTTTTTTAGACGAGTTTGCTAATATCTCCCATTCCATTTCACAGATTGCACTTTCAACATCGAGGCTCTATAAAAAAGTAACAAGTTAAAATATACCTGTCTCGTGAAAAAAAATTCGTAATTAAAGTTGATTTCATTACAGTCAATGTTACTTCATTGCCGTACCAACAAAAGAAGAATAATTCTATCACGACCGCCGAAAAGAATTGCATAGTCATCATGAATTCTACACTTGCTATGTGTTGCGTTGATAGTAAAAAGATGCTCAAGCACAAATTTGGTATCGTAACTGCAATTTGTCCAAACAACATAACGCTCAAACTCTTATTTAGTATTCTGGAAAATCTACAAATGAAAATATCAATGCTTTGATATGAAGCACAAAAGAAAGTTCGAAAAATGTTGAGATCTACTAATTTACTTGAATACACTTTCGTGATCCTGAACACAATCCGCGATTGATTCTCTCTCCAGAGTCTCAATGAGATCGAGTTTTATGTTTTTGGCGTGTGCCTCTTTGCTCTCATCTGCAATACTCAATAGGCGATATTTTAGGATCTCCAGTTGAGCGCAAGTCTGCAGCAGCAGAGCGATAATGAGGCAGTCTTTGGCAGCGTGGACTAAAGTGGCGATGCCAGTTCCAAATGATTGATGCCAGAACAGTAACCAGTAGCAGCCAGGATTCTCAACGTTGCACGGACAGTAGGCATCTACTGGCAATAGCTTTTGGCCAGTTTGGTCGACGAGTGGCGCGACGCATCGGAGCACTATCGCGATGAAGACTGCGGTCGTAAAATAAATACTGATCTTTCTACGGAAAACTTTCTCGTGAACACCTTCGTTGGTTTGTTATATGTGTTGCTGCATTGACTATTACTAGTGGCTTGTTTTCAACAGCAATGATTTTGGCATTTGAAAATTGAGCTTGGAAAGCATTTTTAGTGTACGAGAAAGCGGTCAGTGTGAACATTGTTGATATACGATTGCCATGTCCCACCTGTACGTAACGACTTCACCGTAATATTTCTCAAACGTCTATTACAATCATTAAAAAATGTGACAGTGTACTCTTAAATTCTAAATATCAAACGCTAAGCGTGTTTCGTACGTTTATATTCTAATGAAAATAATATAAGTATGTTCGACTATAATATACATTTTATAAACAACAATTTATGAGTGAAAGCATAGCTAGATGATTTTAGACCGGAACACGAGAGTAAGTGTACTCTGCACACGGCACATACTAGTAATAAAAGAACATAAGAATTGCCGACCAGTGCACGTCACACTCAGACAAAACAATAAGAAATTAAAAGAGAATGGCAAAGACAATTAGCTGCACGTGCACATTCGAGCGTTAGATAAAACACACCGTATCGTTTTGCTGTACTTATCCTGGATGTCTTCTTCCTCGGAGTTGCGAAGTTTCAACCAGCGTTTGTGCTGTATCATCGTTATCATCTCGATGAACAACGCCCGCGACGACAAAACATTGATGGCCTTGAAGCAGGCGTTGATGAGAGCGAACATGAGAAAGACATTTTCGGCGAACAAATCGTCGGTCATTGGCATCTGATAGACTCCTAGGAGAACCGTTAACGTGATGGTAATCAGCAATATCAAAGTCAGAACGCTAAAGCCAGTATAAAGTGACTTGAGCCAGTTGGACCATGTCAAGGGGCGCCACAGTCCGATGCACTTTAAAATGCGGAAGGGTATGGGTGCGATTGTTTCTTTTATTGTTTGCTTTGAATCTAACTCCAGCATATTGTTGCAGTTGTATTTGGAAAGACGTTGCTTCTGGTTGAGACACCAGTCGTTTGTGCATTCAATGTGTGCGTCATAGATACACGTATTCCGATACTCTATTCGCTATTTTAATGATTCATCGAAAGAAAGTCATTTCTCCGACCACGTTACGACTACCATTTCGCTTGATTAATAATAACAACGTCACATCGACAAAGTAACCGCAAGATACTTTGCGTAATGTATGTGGGTGCTGTGCTAGCAGCCACCTTTCCTTTCGCCTTAATTAATAACTACGTAGGGCGTAGAATTTATTCAAGAATATTTTGCGATTGCGCAACTCACGATGTGGTTAGTTTGCGTAGCTCAAGTCATCGACACCTTTACTGAATTTCTATATTATATTTTTCTGTTTCTTTGTAGAAAAACGCGTCGAAATTGTAACTCTCGATTAGCTATCTTTAAAAAGTTCAAATTGAAACGCCGACAGATAATTCGAAAGCTGCGTTTAAATTCGAAATTTCATTAAAAAATAGTTCATATTTTCATGAAAATCACGGCCACCAGAACAAATTTCAAATTCATCAATGTGCCAATGAAAAAATAGCTGGAATTAAGAAGAATGCCGTTATCGGATATAGTAAAATTTATTGATATTCTATCAATTTTCACGTAAGTTTTCATAATTACAATGAAAAAACAAAAATATTTTATTTTATACTTTATTACTCATTGCATATTACAATCAAAACTATCCTCTCTCCAGTCATTACTTAATGTTCTAGCTTTTAAGTTTTCTCCAATATAAAATTTGAAATGTATGCGTGTGCGTTCTTCAAAGTTTACGTAAATTCACTCATTGACGCTGTGCTTTCAGGAGACTGCACAATTTGAATTGAAAAAGCGCAAGCGTTAATTTACACGTAAAATGTGACGCCAAATTACATCGCGCATAGAGAAGAATGCATAAGTTCGAGGGATACGGCGGAGCATAAGTTTGTTTCTGGATGCACTATGGACGTCAGAGACACTATTAAATTTGCATTCGAAAAGAAGCAGGGATTAACGAAACTCTTAGCTCGTCATGCCCCCCTCCCCCCCATTCATCGTTAGATGTGCGTAACTCGACACGTCAGTTCCATGTAATATTGCCCTTAGGTTTGGTACATTCGACGCGAAGAGCAATAATTAGCGTCGCACCGCGAGCCGCGCAATGATACGCGATTGTAGGATGAATAGATGGACGATTTCGCCGACTTTGTGCGCCTAACGGACTATGCCGTCGTATGATGCTGCCTACATTTTCGATAATTTTTTTCTCCCTTCAGCGTCTCGCATAACGAATGGATATCCATGTTCTTAATAGCCCGAGTCATTCGCGCCGTACTTTCCCCCCTCTCCAAGTATCGTCGTACGCGCGGCAAGTCTGCGTCTTTGATGGCTGAAATTGTCCGCATATTCTCGCGATTTTTAATATCATAAGTACCACTCCCGGAGCTTAGGTGGAAATCGATGCGTGCCTAGCAAAAATTGTCACCCACTATGCGGGGAGGGTTATCTATAATTTTAACGAGCCGAAGCGTATACACTTCCGCGACATAGCGTTTCTTTGTGCGCTGCCTAAGGCCTTCGAAGGGAGTGCATCGCGCACGCGATCGCAATTTTTTTCTATGTACACTGTAGCCATAAGCTTCCACGAAGTAGCGCTTTCGCGGCGTCACGCGTGCCAACCTCCTCAATAAGTCAGGCAATGATTGCTTGCGAGGGCTGCGAGAGAAAGAAAAAAAGTTATTTCTTGCAACTGCGCACTGCGTGTAGCTGCGCGTATTGCCAACTCATCCGCGTACATTCGTTTCGAAGTTTGTTTGCCACACGCCTCTCTCTCTCTCTCTCTCTCTCTCTCTCTCTCTCTCTCTCTCTCTCTCTCTCTCTCTCTCTCTCTCTCTCTCCTCTCTCTCTCTCTCTCTCTCTCTCTCTCTCTCTCTCTCTCTCTCTCTCTCTCTCTCGGTGGATTTTCCTGAGTGTTTGGTGATTCGCACTGGAGACGTGTGTCTTAAAATTATCCTTCTTGTCAATGTCGCGAGGGCTGTAGTACATTTTCTTTCTTCATTCACAATCAATTTTCGCTAATTGAACGAACGACTCGATTCTAACGATAAATTTACGGAGAGAATTTTCGAACGAAATCGCAGTTTTATAAATTCATTTTTATTTTTGTCCTTTTTTGTTACGTTGGATTTTTACACAAAGAACGCAACGCCTTTCGAATACTGAATTCTACGTACAAAGACACTGAGAAATGACGAAGAGACCACGTGGCCACTGCTATACATAAAACTTGTATACGTTATAAACAGATTCGAAAGAAAAAGTTTCTACGAACGATCCCGAAGCATCGCTCATTTGGATCTTATAGGAATCGTCGGATGGGATACATTTACGTCTCTGGCTAAAAATGCTTCCTTAGTTCTATGCGATAAAAGAGTTAACAAACTTATTGAAGGATGCACTTGCGTCTCTTGAAAAAAGTTGCTTCAGCGAGTATACGACTAGTGGCAAGTATTTTTCTAAATTAAACTGCCTTACTTCACTCTACGGTATAATAATTAGTTTATCTAATTGAACATATTTAATTTTCAAGTGAGACAATTGATTACATCTAATAATCAAGAGAGTTACGACTTAAAATGCACCACGAATGACATGTTAAGCTAGATAATGCAAGAAGCTTTTGTCAGCATAAATTACTTTTCAAGTGCAAACAAATCACGGAAAAGACGCTTTTATGAAACAAACCACGAACGTATCATTTTGTAATTTATGTATTATTTGCACGTAATGATGATTATATTTGAAGTATGTCAACGTGATTGTTTGAAACGACACATTAAATGTTTTACGTGCATCGATTTCACTATTTTTCTTTATTTTTGGAAAGAACACCTATAAGTTATTAAACAGAACCTTAAACTGTAAACAGAATACACCGATGACATGTTATGGACATTCCAGAAATATGACAAGCAAGAAAGAAAACTCGGAAGCATAAAAAATTCTACGTAATTCATCAGCAAATGTAAAATGACATTTTAATGTAAAATCCTGATTGGGAATCAAATGGATAGTCGTCAAAGGAATATTAAACAAATCTTCCTTCATCGTGATTTTCAATTACTAGTAAGATAAACATATTTATTCAAGAGTCTCTCTTAACGATATGCGATAATAATCAGAATTTTCTAATTTTTGTAATAACAGCTTATAAATGTTTACACTGAACTTGACGAATATTGGGTTAAAAAAAGCATCTTTTTTGTAATATTTCCACTATGCATATCCATGTACAATTGTTGAGCTTGTCTACTTTTTTTGCAAGAAATGTGCTTATGAAAGTTTTGGCGTATAGAATGGCGCAAGGCATCGTTTTATTCTTACAAAAATGTTATAAAGCACGTAATACCATGAAAAATAATGTTAGATCTGCTGTTATTCGAGTAACAGTTATATTATTCAATGCTGCACCGTGCATATTATGTATTTTTAGATTTGTATCAAATGTCTCCATGAACGAAGTTTTATACAATTTCTATAAAAAATTGCATACGTTCGTGGGTTGATTGAAAGAGAAAAAATAAGAAGACGCCGTAGAATAAAAGTGAGCTCTCAGCAAAATTGCGCAAAAACAACGGAAAATTCTGAAAACTCGTGCCGCGAGGGCGATTTCTCCTTGTACGGAGTGGAAGAAAAACCTGACGGAATATAGAGGAAAAACGAGAAGGTTTGTGTTTGCGGCATCTGTCACCGAGCAACTGCTCCGAATGGTGCGTTCCGCCGAGCGTGTTTGTTTCGTTTTATTTGAAAGATCAAGATTGGCTTTTTTCTTTTCCTCGTGTCCAGCTTACTTTGCGAGCTCGCGCACGAGAAGAAACGTCCATTCATGAAAATAAATGTGCAGGTTTTCTCCGTAAAGTCCGCAACGTACCGGGTTTATTTGCGAGCAAACGAAGAAGAAAGCAATAGTAAAAGGAAAAGAAAAGGAGGCACTCCGCCGTGGGCGAGTTGTCAACAGGCGTGAGGCTGAAAGAGCTTGTCGTCACAATGCCGATGGAGGAAGGACATTTGCATCTCTTGTTCCGTCGGCGCTGAATCGAGAGCGGCGGATTCATCGGGATTAGGTAGCGCGTTGCTCTTCAAAGGCCACTACTGGACACTGACGAGAGATGCGCTACAATACTACATCTGATAAAGAAAAAATCTTTTCGACGGAACGTTACCGCGATGTCTTGAAGTTGTATCCGCCGAGAGACACTTATTTCCCCCGAGAAATTATAACGTTAATAAAAGCAATAAAATCACCACCGCTTCGTTACGTGGATAAGATTACGAAAAGGAGTACTCGGACCAGTACAATTTGCCGTATTTTCTGCGGATCTTTTTTTATCTCGATCGCTCGGCTATTTTCGTGCCATAGGCCAGCCTCGGAGAAACAAACGATAAATCCAGTCGTGCATCCCTAGAAGTCAACGTTCGATTTGGAAAGTCAATATTTTCATTGTTTCTCGGCAATGGCTGCCGAGTGAAAATACGATAAGCGCATATCGTCGCAGTTCTATTTTCAGGAAACCCATCGGAAAGTGGAACCGTTCGGTAAAAGTGGCCAGCGCACTTTCCAAACTAGCGACCGGAATAGAGAATCGCGAGGCGATAAAGCGCGCGGCAACGATCGAGATATGCGCGATCTCGACCGATCTCGCGCATATCCGCCCATCGGCACGTGAAAATATCGACGACCGCGTCGATCGTTGATCCTCGCGTCGACGGTGCTTTTAGCGCTTGTTATCTTCGAGCTGGCGCTCATTTGATGGAATTCGAGCAAAAGTCTACTCACCAAGCAGCCATTCGTTGCTCTTTTATCTATCGTCGCGCCAACAGTCGACATTAATTCCATTGTTCAACGTGTTACATCGACTAACAATGAATCTCTGAAATGCTCGCTTCGCTCTCGTGACGTAACAGAATCGCAATAAAAAAAAGACATCGCAGATAATCGCTGTTCGAACACGTACAAACAGATTTCGATCTCTTCTTTTCTTTCTTTTTCTTTGCGAGTAGGCCGCAGAGATAACTCGCATTCACTTTTCTACCTAGAAAAAGAATTATCAGCAAACAATATTTCTCCACGACCTTCCTTTTTCCATTCGAACGCACAGCGGAAGTTGGCGTCACGTAACGTTTGGCATCCAAAATCCACGTTCGCACACTCCGAAAACTCACGGACCTCGCGCGTACAATTGAAGGTGGCCTGGCCAATTTCAATTTCATCGCTTACATAAAGGACAGCGGCAGCCATAGGTGCCTGTCTATTTACGTTCGTATATATACATCTCGCTGTAGTCGCACGTGCCGCATCCTACAGGTTTCGGCTCGAAGCGTCGTCGTCGCGGGGTCCGGGCGATCGCGATGGACGGCTTCGCGTCATTGGCGACACATCGCCGAGAGTCGAGAACGCGACGTCCGCGGCGTCGCTCGCGTCGCGTAGTCCACGAGCTGGCCGAGTCTGTAACCGCGCTGATCGTATATAGCCGCTCGCAGCCACGGCAGTCTCCATCGCCTCTCTTTTTCGAAAAATTGCGCGCCTCCATCGGAGAGAGTTTC